CACTTCAAGAAATGAACCTTCTATGACTTGGATTAAGTAAAGTGACAGTTGTGGTAATAAAACCTTCAACAGGACTATAAACTTATTCTGACAAATGACGGACAATTGCACTAATGAAGAGGACGGTCAATATTAAGGAACAATAATCCTTATTGAGTCTACCTTTAAGCTTTCAAATTTTTGAGCTTTTTAGGTACAAGTGTTTCGTTTGAATGATGTCATAATATTATAATTCTATCTACACAGAGGCGGTCATCTGTTATTACTTATATTGCTAGAACCGCCATTTTAAACGACTTATAGACCACGTTAATTGTAACTAAATTACAAATCGTATTTCATTTTTATCATAAAACACTTTCAAGCATTAATAAATTGTCACTAAAATGTATGCAACCAACCATACACCCGAATATAGACATTTAGATTTGCCCACTTTCTTCTAATTGTTTATTTCCAACTGGAATACGTTAAAATTGCTAATTGTTGTTATATTTCGTTATTAAACGATCTCATCCTGGTAGATATCCAGCAGGATAAAAATAGTAGTACCTTTTTAGCGGAAAAGTATGATAAAATGTCTTAACTAACCTCAAATTGTCATTTCTCTGATTATTATTATATAAGTTACAACTTCACCACAAAAATTTTATTCCAACGAATGAAAGGAAAATTGTGAACTTAGTGATTGAGTTACCCTTATTGGTACAGGTACTGGTTAGTTTTTCCACTGAAAATTTTATTTGCTTGATTATGCAGTTGACCCCTTTGTACCGAAAGGGCAAATTATATTTATAAATTTCGAAAACAATTTTACGTGCACTCAACATCTTACAGAACTAGGAAGCAGTAGTTGATTGCAGTCAGCCACTTATGAAGCGTAAACAATCATAGAAACTAGAAGTTGTTACCAGATTGTTGAACCGCAAATTTTTCTAATACAAGCCGAATTTATTACATAACTAATAGCAAACGATCATATGTCTTATTACGCTTTCACTAATGGTTAAAAAATTATTTACTTACACTATTTTTTCCAGCAATATTCTTTGCAAGTATTTTTAATCGACATCAAGGAGGAGTTAAATGAAATGGAAGCGGTATTGACAAAACAGTATTGTATGAAAATAAATAAAAGTAAAATAAAAATACTGGTATGCAAGGGAAGAAAAAGTAGGGAAAGAGTGAATGTAAAGGTATGAGACGAAAAATTAGAAGAAGTCGCTGATTTTCGGTACCTAGGAAGTCATAATTCAGGACGAAAGGAATAGTACAGATATAAAACAAATTATAGCGGAAGGTCTAGTCACCTTTAACAAAAATCAGTTATTTCTATGCTCATGAATGGAAAAAGATTGTTAAAGCTGTATGCCTGGAGTAGAGTTCTGTGTGGATGCGAAACGTAGACGGAGGGCGCGGCGGAAAAGAAAAAGTTAGAAGCATTCGGAATGTAGTGTTACTGACGAATGATGAGGATACCGTGGATAGAGAAGGTTAGAACGAGTAGAAAAATAGAGGGCGCTATGGAAGTCAGTAAGAGGTTGCTAGGACACGATGGTTAAGGATGTGGGATGTTTTGGTTTTAGGAAAATGCTAAGATTATCGTAGGATAGGAAAGAGTGGAGATGCATGTCCAATCAGTCTTAGGACTGACAACCCTACGATGATGATGGTTACAATTTCTAGGAAATTTCGAGGCTATTTAGGAAATTTATAAAATATTGTTTTAAAGATTTTTTAATACACACATATCCTGGGAAATGTATACATTTCCTAGGAATTGTATGAAATTCCGATATTGTACTAGGAAATGTATAAAACTAATGCTTTCTGTGAATAAAATGAATAAAACAAGTTAGTAAACTGAGAATCAGAGTTATCTGTGAATTCAATGAATCGCCTGATTGAATGACACAATACCTTCCCCTCCCTCCGCTAACCCCTAGTACCCATTGACATTTTGATTGTAATACATTTCAGATTGCTATTTAGGAAATGTATAGATTTCTTAGGAAATTTATCTAATATAATTTATTCAGATTTCGCATTTCCGGCTGATGTTAGGAATTATATACATTTCCTTGGAATTGTATACAATGACGGATTACACACATTTCCGTTAAAATATATAAAATAGTATATTTGATGGCAAATGTTAGCAGATGGCGGTATATTGCTTGCAAATTAATAAAGCGAGCAATAATGTATCGGATAAATCCATATTTTTATTATACGTAACATATTACCCAACAGTAAGATTGCACTTAGCCACTCTATGCAAAAGGAAAAAATCCCTAACAATTCACCAAAAATCACTACACTTCCGCTTCTGCATCCGCTTCCGAAAAATTTACTGTTTACTTCTGTTTCCGCTTGCATCATTAATGCGGGCTAGTGATGCTCGGGGAACCCCCCCTTTTTATTTTTGAAGGATATTCATGCGCTACGTTTTTTTGAAATTTCTTAGGGTCTCGAGAAAACTTTTAATATATACGTAACATTTTACAATTTTTCTCTTAATATAATACTTACTGTCTTTAAATTGAAATTTACTAGATCAATAAAAAGTTAACCAAAAATGTAAGAATATGTTCTCAGAAAGTATTTTATTTTAAAAAAGTGTTTAGAAAATACGTATTTTGTATCTAGGATTTCAAACACAATTTCCAAAAGTATCTTGTATCCAGATTTAAATATTTTTTTGAGATAATCATTTTGTATTTTTTTTTAAAATACTTTTCCAAACGTATATTCTCTTTGTAAACTGCAAAATACATTTTTGCCTTTAAAAATATTGCTAGTAGTAAACATATAAAATGATGAATGAAATTTGCTTACATTGGTCATTGAAGGTATTAGAAGCTTAAAAAGGGGACAAAGAGACATTCCATGAATGACTTCTAATTTTTTAACTGAAGAGAGCCCAAAAACTAAACCCCTTAGAAATGGATAATCTAAAATATTGGATCGATATTGTTTTCCGAGTTCAATGTCATCGTCCATGGAATTTTGAAGTTCCAAATTGATATCAGCACCTGCCAAATCACCATTTATCGTACCTTTAGCAAGGAACTACGAAATTCTATGACTTACGACAAAACAGCCCGCAAAACAATATCGAATTGACATACGCCAGCTGGGTAAAACCAAAAACTACAAGATATTACTGTGTGCTAATAAATGCATATAGAAAACGATTCGAAAAACTTCACTTATTAGATGAACCCAAAACTAAAGAAACTGTGGATTCCATTTCTTTCTTTTATTACAATGTGTAATAGATCAGAAATAAAATGTGGTTGTAAATATTTTGATATAAAACGATTGATGTTGATTTTACATCAATAAAATTATTTGCAACCCTATTTTGGCTCTCATATTTCACGCTAAGCAAAGTATTTTGGCAACAGTGTCTTTTTTTCTAATTAAAACCGTGACAAAGGCAAAGAAACTATAACATAAAGATAAAAGAACTATGTCTCAGTCACTTCAAATATATGAAATGAATATGAATCATACTTAATTTTCGCAGCTGGTGATATAGTGCAAACACCATTATTAGCCCAAAAATCAAACAAGCATTTGGATTTTGTATCCATATACTTTAAAAAAAACATTTTGCACATATCTACTTGTATTTGATATCTCAAATACGTTACCGAAAAGTATCTTGCAACTTGTATTCCAGATTCTTTTTTATATGGTATCTTATACATCCCTTTTGGTTAGTAAACATAATATCTACTTTAATTTGTGATTTATAAAGATGAAAGTACAGCATCATAAGGTCGTCAGTCCTAAGACTTGTTGGACACATACCTCCACTCTTTTCTATCTTGAACTAAACTTCGCATTTCCCTAAAACTAGAACATCCCCATATCCTTACCTGTTTGTGAACAATAATCTAATCTGGGTCTACCTCTACCCCTCTTAACTCCTGTTTCTGCCTCTAATATGTCTCTGACTAGACGTTCATGTCTAAGAAAGTGTCCTACCAATCTATCTCGCCTATTTTTTATTGACTTCCATAGAGTCCTCTCTTCTCCTATTCTCTCTAATACCTCTTCATTTCTAACCTTTTCTACTCACGTTATCCTCATCATTCGCTTATAACACCACATTTCGATAGCCTCTAACCTTTTCTTTTCCACCGCGCCCACTGTCCATGTTTCGTACCCGTAAAACGCCGTGCTCCAAACATACACCTTTAACAGCCTTTTTCGAATTTGTAAATTAACCGGTCGTGAGCATAGAAGTGAACCTTTTTTGTTATATATCTCCACTGCTCTTCATAACTACTAAGCTAACAGACGTGATTCGTGATTGGCTCTCGTAAGGACGTCGTTTTGTTTGGTTGGTTGTTAGTGCTAAATGTTTTTTCAAAATTGTTCAGTTTGTATCATCCAAACTTCCATCGGATGAGTAGTGCAAAACGAAAAGTTTCAATTCGTCAGTCCTAAGACTGGTTGGGTAAGCACCTCTACTCTTTCCTATCCTGAGCTAATCTTCGCATTTCCCTAAAACTAGAACATCCCACGTCCTTAACTATTGGTGAACAGTTATCTAATTTACACCTAGCTCTATTTCTCTTAACTCCTGTTTCTGCCTGTAATATGTTTCTTATTAAACCTTCATGCCTGAGAAGGTGTCCTACCAACCTATCTTGCCTATTTTATATTGACTTCCATAGAGTCCTCTGTTCTCCTATTCTTTCTAATATCTCTTTATTTCTAACTTTTTCTACCCACGTTATCCTCATCATCCGCCTATAACACCACAACAACGTGAAGTTTTTTTATATTAAGGGAGGTCCCGATCCGATGTTTTTGAGTGGGCCTCAATGGTATAGTTGCACATACCAGCACATTTACATGTTTTTTTACCATGCTCCTGTGTACCGATTTAGAAATAAAGAAAATCCCAACGTTATTAACATCCCCCCACTACGCACAACTGTGTAACTACAGCAAGTGTATTTATGGTACGTGGTGCTTGAAACAGAGACAAGTGTACGTTGCGCCAATATAAATAACTGGCAAACCTAAAGAACCTGAGTGATTATTTATTCGCAAAGTTGTCAAAATGTACGGTACAACACTTTTTGTTTGTGTCATTGCTGCATTCGCTTTCGTTATTGTTGAAGGAAGATCCGGTAAGATAAACAAACAACATCTATTAAATTGCTATAATGATTTTTATAAGAATAATTTATTTAATTCCAATAGTGTTGCTAAATTAATTTGTTAACTGACTGAAAGAAAATGACCATTTTTTTAAAGGACCATTAATTATTTTTAATTTAGTGCTATAGATAAGTCATATGAAATAATTTTAGATACGCAATAACATTTTGTTTTTTTTTGATAAATTATGTACCTATGACCCACAAAAAGACAATGGTAAAAAAAATTATTAAATAAATATCAAGTTTTTAATAATTAAGCTTCGAAACTTATGAACTATTTTGGATAGAGTGATATCAATTCATATAAATACAGGGTGACTGGAGATTGCTCGTAGTAGAAACCATTACTAATTTGGGATGATTTAACCTTTATCACTTAGGAGCCGGACGTGTGTCATTTTTGAGAAAATGTACTTGTTACAAAAATTCGAATTTTTGAAGTTAAAAAAACTTTCGGCCTGAATTTTTGTATGATCTGATTGCTTATTAATTGATCAATCTTCCTCAAGCTAAAAACCACGAAATTTATTGTTAGATTTTATATTGTGTCCTTTAATACTTTAAGAAGCTTTCAATAGTTGTAATATTGTTTGGATGTTGATACTAAATATTATTATATTGTATTATTATTTATGTTGTGGGTTAAAATATGTGTTAAAGTTTTAAATCAGAAGTAGATTTTCTCGAAAATAGTACATTTCCGACCCGCCAAGTGACGTTAAATCATTTCAAATCTGTGATAGTTTCCTCTTCCGAGACGAAAAACCAACAATTTATAGACACCCTGTATATTAGAAATCGTATATTTTTATATTGTATTGTTAATTATACTGTGGGTTAAAATATGTGTTAAAGTTTTAAAGTAGATTTTCTTGAAAATGGCACATTTCCGACCCTTAGGTGATAGAGGTTAAACCATTTCAAATGTGTGATAGTTTTCTCTTCCGAGACGAATACGAGCAATTTATAGACACCCTGTATATTAGAAATCGTATTTGGTCGAAATTTGACCTAATTGCTTCTAAATCAAACAATATGCACGCTGCACCACCTTGTCTTACTTTTTTTTTTGTTTCGACCCTTGATAGTATATTACGTATGAAGTACGGCTTTCCTTTCCGGGTGTAAATTGTCATCCGAGTTGAAGGCGAAGATGGTGAAACGTTCTGTAGCAAGGACTAAATGCGATTTCTTACCTATAAGGGAATGTTGTGTTGTTTTTGAAGGGATATGGTAAAAAATCGTATACGGGACTTGGGAAGAAAGTACGTATGATACCACTTCGCGGAATTTTCCGTCCTTGCTTAGCATCAAATAGCACTCATACCTAGAAGTATTTTCTTCTTTCGGTGTATAATATAGCAACTATTTATGTTTGAACTGTTTATTGTTATATTAGATTTTATCCGCGGTTTTGCTGACACTAATGTCCTAAATACTTGTCAAAGATCATCGACGACCTATGTCCTATTCTGTACCTTTGACAATGGGTATACAAAATTTCATAATGAGTAGTTAAAGCGTGAAATCGTAACAAACAAACAAACAAACAAACAACATCAGATTGGCATTCATAATATTAGTGACTATATCACATTTCTTGTGAATTTCATTGTAAGTGAATCGAGTTGATGGGAATCCTTTTGTGGTTGGAGAAAAAGGGGACGCACTGTTTTCATGCTCGTATTATTAATTATTGTGGTATGGAAATTAGTTTAGATTAATTTTTCGTATGTATTTAATTGTGTTTGTCTATAGTAGGATTGCCCCTCTGCTCATTGAACATAACTAAAGTGTAAAGTACATCACTTTATTAAAAAATTGTTTGCCAGCATCAAGTTGCATACTTTTTGATAAGTTGTTTCCTTTTACATAAGCTTTAATGGGTAAAAAAAGGTAATCTTAAGAACGCAATCTATGCATTAAGAAATAACAACGCTAAATTTTATAAAAATCTTCACTCTAAAATTGAAATCATGGTAGACATCTCATAGATCGTTTTTGAAAAATAACCCCAGGATAACAAAGAAAGCAATTTTTAAAAAATAATCGAACTCTGTCTTTTCAAATAATGTTTATCTATATATATAATAAGTTGGAATACATATTTTTATTGACCGATTATAAGCATGATTATCCTTGACTTTACTTACGATTAACTATGAGGTTATCATCTGATTATGAGTGAAAGTAAAAAAATTAAGCAATTAAATCACTTCTCAGACATGAACCATTATTTTACATGTTTACTTGTGTATTTCTGTGATACAGTAATTAACATCTTGGACAAAAAAAAAGTGATAAAAAGAAATGCGGATTTAACAAAGTTATGCTTAAATTAAAGGTTGCACGTAGTTGTTAATACCGCAGATATAGATCCACGGTTTGCCTGAAAAGACGAACTGTTTATTTAGTTTTTTGTTTAAACGTTTTACTATTATAGAATATTACTGCTAACTTCCTTAATACGTCAGACCGATTAACTCGAACGACAAAAAGTGACAACCTCAATGTTAACAGTACCTACTAGATATAGTGTTTTATTGGACATAATCCGTTGTAAAATATTCAATGTTAGAAGACCCAAATATAGGAAGTTTAACTTTTTCTATTATCGAAATTATAATTATAAATTCGACTAAAATTTGGGTATATTTGAAAGTAGAAGCATAAATAAAATTAATTTTTTTGTCCCTATTTGCATGTATGGTTGTGCGTCCTAAAAAAAAAGGTTTTAATAAATTGTAACTTTAAATATGATTTCGCCTTTAGATGAAGCATTTGCCTATTATATGTAATTTCCGAAATTCATTTCGTTAGATGCTAGTACTTTGTACAACAGTAGGGTTCCGATGAAATTTTCCAGTACGGAACTCCAAACACAGAGGTTTATAGATTTATAAGGTAAGGTATGCCTTTTAGAAAGATAAGTTTCAAATAAAAATTATAAAATACCACACCGATAACTGTTTGCGACTCGCTGATGAGATCCAAAAAGATCGAAATTCGACAGAACACTGACCACTTCGAATTTGTTTGTTCGAAATAAAAATTGTAGAGAAACTAAATCCTTTAATTTGAGCCACGGTACGATTAATTTTGTCAGTTAGTTATTGCACAAATCCTAACATGTCAGTTAGTTATTGCAAAAATGACTTTTTTTAGTGATTTTATCATATTGATGTGAAGGTATTTAAATTTGGAATTGAACTAGTTTTTGTGGGCGTAAGCTGGCCAATTTGCTAGTGAATAATTGTTAATTAAAAACAAGTTCGATTCCAAATTTAAATACCTTTATTTCAATGTGATAAAATCACTAAAAGTTAATTTTTGCAATAAACAATCAATATACAAGAAATGGCAACTTTTGCCGTTTTTTTTTTGGAATTTGTGCAATAACTAATTGATAAAATTAATCTTACCGCGGCTAAAATTAAAGGTTTTTAATTTCTCTACGATTTTTATTTGAAACTTTTCTTTCCAAAAGGCATACCTTGCCTTCCAGATCCAAAAACCTGTTTTTTTGCCAACTTTGGACCTCCCCCGTTTGTTAACGCATACTTTTTCGAAGTTTAACAATATACAGGGATGCTAAATTTTTCTCCGTCTACATAAAGGAACAACTCCCGTCTGGTAACAAATTTATGTCTGGAAAATTCCCTACCGACTGGACTAATTTAGTTACACACACATGAACTTAAACCTGTAATCGGTTTAAACTGTATTTAATGAAGTTTTCTTTAGATAGAGCGTTGATTTTAGATATTTGTTGTTTCTTTCAAGGTACCTTGGACTATTTTGTTCTCTGAAAGGTCAATTTATGCGTTGGAGGAAGGGTTTTCATAACTCTTACAACCATTGACATTATTTTCTTTAAAAGTTATCACAAGTTCTCATGTATGACAGAAAACTTCAGCGTTAAAGACAATTATTGTGTCGGTAAATAGAAAATAGACCAAGACCGAGACTGTATCAACAAGAACAAGACCAAGATCAAGACCGAGACTATATTAGCAAGACCAAGACCAAGACGGAGAATATACAGCAAGACCAAGACTAAGACCAAGACTATATGAATAAGACCAAGATCAAGACCGAGACTATATTAGTAAGACCAAGACCAAGACCAAGACGGAGACTATATCAGAAAGACCAAGACCGAGACTATATCAACACGAACAAGACCAACATCAATACCGAGACTATATTAGCAAGACCAAGACCAAGACGGGGACTATATCAGCAAGACCAAGACCAAGAGCGAGACTATATCAGCAAGACCAAGACCAAGACTGAGACTAAAAGTGTTTGATCAAGACGAAGACCAAGAGTGAATAAGCAACACCAAGGCCAAGACCAATACCAAGTCTGGGAAAGTCTTGGTTTTGTTTTGCTCGTCGCTAGTAAGCCATCAAACTTTACTGACCCTATAAATGACGGAATTGATAATAATAAAATACATNGCATAAAGTTATTTCTTTTTGTTAAAAACGACTCGATCTTGTCCTATTCTTTGCTTTGTTTTTGACTCACTAAACATCGAAAATCAGCGGCTTCTTCTTGTTTATCGTCTCCTATTTTTTTATTAGTTTTATTAAAGGATATTTAATTTATCCAAGGTATTCAATATTATCTTTGTATAAAATTGTAGATAATTATTTTAAGCAAATGACGACTCCGTATGTATATGTTAGAGATTCTGTCAAACAAAACGTCGCCAATCGCCAAACTAAAATTCTGTAATATTAAACGTGGTAATATAAATCAATTAAACTCTGATCGAAAACGGAAGCGAAATAATGCAGGGTAGATATTTTACTGGAGCAACTGGATAGTCATGATAGTTAGTAGAAGAAAATCGACATTTAGTAATATCCTTATTAGCCCCTTTTCCTGTATACAAAATAAGGACTTACGAACGAAGAAATCATAGCTTAATCATCGAAGCTTTGTAGCTTCTGGGTTTGATTAAGGTTTGATTAGTGAATTATCGGGTCTCACAAAAAGAGTTATGATTAGTCTACGTGTACATCAATTGTCTTTATTCTATCGATTTTTATCTAATAGTAGGGGAGACGGTATCGTACAGTCAAACGCTGACACCTTTATTAGATTAGGTTAGGTTAGGGTTGGGTTTGATTAGGTTAGTTTTTCAAATTTCCGATCAGTAAAAAGCTGAAATTAGGGCTTATTTTGGGATTTACCTTCAAACCTAAGATGAACTAGAATGTATAAACACCTTCTCAATAAAATCGCTCAATAAGATAATAATGACATATTGTCTATTGGGATCCGTCAAATGGGCATACACCATCTCATGGCAAAATTTATAACTCGAATGAGGGAAAAATTTACATAGGAACTGTGCACGCAAATTGTAAAATTGTTTATTAAAATAATAAAACACGTTAAAAAAGTAAAAATTTTTTTGATGATGGAGTCGACGAAGTTTTCTTCTAAAGTTAAATCAAATAAAAAGTTAATATGTTCAGTGAAAAGCTGCAATAG